ACCAATTTAAGTTAACTTATAATTATCGTTACATTAACATTGCATTATCGTTGCGTTATCTTCGTGTAATCTGTAACTATCACAATCGACCTTGCATTATATTGTATCGACAATGAACAAAATTTCCAATTTCGGAAATTTTAGAAAAGGCATACTCGTATTTTATGTTCAATAATTTTCTGTTCGGAAATATTCGGGTTTACAGCCAATCACCATAACCATACCTTTCTTCCATAAATTGGCCGCTAGTATCACATGACTCCGGTTCTAGGCTACATGCACCATATAAAGATATGTCTATAATGAGTCTGTTGGTAGATGGGCGCTGTTCAATAGAAAAAGTGAAAATCTCTTTTCAAATCTGGTTAAATTGACCAGATTTAAAAAGAGACTTCCTCTTTTTTATTAAACAGCGTCCAGATATCGATTTTTTTTATTAATCAGTAAAGGATCAATAACACATTGCATGCATCACCACTTTACCAATACTTGTCAAAGATTGAATTTGGTAAAGGCTGTAATCCTGGCGCATCTGGTACAGGAAATTATAGATTAAAACCAGCCATGCATTTAATGCACTTGTATAAAAGAGTTAAAGCAATATACAAGAATTTTGCAGAATTACTTATTCATAATTATTTTCCCGTTAGTAAAAAATTTATTGTCAATACAAATTCAAAATTAGTCATATATTTAAATTCTAATATTCCCAAAATTGGTGTGTATTTAAATTCAATTATACCCAAAATTAGTTGTATATTTAAATTCTATTTTACCTTTAATTGTTTTATACCAACCAGGTTATTGCGAAATATGATTGTGTGATTAAGATCGTTCTGGGAGGGTTGTATAATAAATTGTTGGGTTGTAAGAAAAAAGATTAGATGTAGTGAAGATTTTAGATAAATGTAAAATATATATAAATCGTGCAGTTTGACCTTGAATAAATTTTTAGAACTGCCAAAGTTCAGATAACTATTAGATAGATAATAAAATTTGTATTAAAAAAAAAACCAAGCCAATAAATTTCTATTTCTCTGAAATAAAATCATTAAAAATATGGAAAAAATTGTTAGTTCCACTGCTGCTCAAATTTCCTCTGGCTTTACTCTGTCGCTCTCAACACAAGGTAAACGCTAGACAGGTTTTTATCATTCTACAATGAAAAAAGCAGGAAATAGATATATCGCGAAGTGCTGTTATTGCTTGGTTGAACTAAGTGGCAAGCCTAAAAAAGCTTAATAATCATGTTCTTCGATGCAGTGATTGGCCTCCTGCTGAAAAAACTAAATATATTCAAAAAGTTAAAGAAGAAAGCCTTATACCCTGTAAGCGTTCTAATAATAGTATTGACAACGATGATAAAGATTAAGATTTATTTACCGATTCAAATATCCATGATGATAATGATGATAACGTACAACAACTTCCTGTGCCTTGCCAAAATATAATTCTTAATTGGTGTACTCGTCCTTTGCCTCAAGTACAGTCTGAAAAGCTTCATCAAAAGCTTTTAAAATCTATTATCTACGGAAATATCTCTTTTCAGTTTGTTAATAATCCGTATTTTTGAGATTTTCTTCACGACCTAAATTCTTCATATAATCCACCTTTCTGAAGCATGGTCAAAGGACGTTTATTAACTAAGATGTTCTCAGATCATATTCAAGAAAAGTTAAGTACACTTTCAACTCTAAATGATTTGATGATTTCTTTTGATGGATGGACAAATAATTCTGAAAACTCAATATACGGGTTTATGGCTCTTAAAGAAAATAAAGAAACAGTAATAGATGTACTTGACTTGTCTGCGCATTGCCATACGGGTAACTTTCTTTATAATAAATTAAAAGAAGTTTTATTTGCAAATGGCATTCAAATAAAAAAAAAAGAACATTGAAACTATCTAATAATTAATCCAGACTTCAAAACAATTTAATCCTGGTCACAAAGTTTTGATTGGGACAATTAGAATTTTACCCCAATTCACTCATTTTATTTTCGTTACCATTACCTGTCCAAACAAATGAAGGCAACAACTTAAAGCTGCTAGGGCCAATAAGCATGCAAAGCATGCAAATTATGAAAATCTGGATGACTATATTTGGTCGGATAATAATATTGATGAAAGGTCTTCCGATTATTTTGCTGTTTTATTGACAGCAGGTAAAAATATAAATGATTGGAAACCTTTGGGTAGAACAATATATGTTGGAGGTTCTAAAAGAACTCAAAGACGCAAAAAAGTGGAACTAAAGAAAGCTGCACAAAATACTCGACCTATCACTGCATACTTACCCTCTGCCTTAACATCTTCTAACGTTGCCTCTGCTTCGACTTCTACTTTTGGATTGTCAACAGAATTATATATGCCAACTGAAGTAGAATCAATAGGAAGTGAATCAATGGAGGTGGAATCAATTGAGGTGGAATTGGTAGAATCAATGAAGGTGGAATTAGTGGAATCAATGGAGGCAGAATTGGTGGAATCAATGGAGACAGAATTGGTGGAATCAATGGAGACGGAATTAGTGAAATCATTGAAGGCAGAATTGGTGGAATCAATGAAGGTAAAATTGGTGGAACCAATAGCAGATGCATCAGCTGAAATTGATGAGAAAACAACAATGAGGTTAGCAATTGAGGAGCTAGATGGGTTATTAAAAAAAATGACAATCAAATAGATAAAGGTGTAAAGGTTCGTTTGCAAGCATCATTGCAATATTTACGATTAAGATACTATCATGATCAGACTAAAATAAGGGCAAGCACAACGATTGCTAGTTCATTAGGATGGGGAGATTATAAAGCACGATGTATTTGTGCGTGGGCACAAAATTGGTTAAAGTGGTGAAAACTTCCTAAAGATAATCATGGCAAATTCACAAAGGTATCTAGCCTTCTTGATGATGAGAGAATATCTATGAAGGTATATTTTTTTTTTATAACAAATTTTTTTACATGTCTTAATTCTTTGTAACTTAGAATAATTATACAGTATTTAAACAGATAATGTCGTATTTAAGAAGTCACAAATTTAGTGTGAATCCTAAAGTTTTAAAACAGTATGTAGAAAATGAAGTATTCCCGTCCTTAGGTATTGAAAAAAAGACAACAATATGTGAGAAAACGGTGTGAGAATGGCTTAAAAAATTAGGTTGGGAGTGTAAAGAGTGGAAAAAAGATATATATGTAGATGGACACAAGCGAGAGGATGTGGTGCAATATAGACAAATAGTTTTTTTGCTAATGATGGAGGAATTGGATCCTGTTCTTCTTGAATATGATGACCAAGATCTTACTAAACTAGTAGAAAAGAGCATTCCCCCTGAAAAAAAGAAACATTGTATAATAACGCATGATGAGACAACATTAGCCGCAAATAATGATAAGAAAACAGGATGGGGCCCCAAAGGTTTGTTTATGTTATAAAATGAATTTCGAGCATTATTTGTCTTGAACTTTGAATTTTTAAGCATTGATGCTTTTTTTTTTAATTTTTAATTTTTTTAATTATTAATAGGTAAACATAAATTACGTCAAAAAGGACAGGGCAGATGCATTCACGTTAGTGAATTTTTGTGTGAACCACTAGGCCGAGTTCATTTAACTGAAGAACAGCATGCAGCTCACCCCGAAATTTTAAAATGTTATGTTACGGAGTTATTAGAAATTGGAGCGAATTATGAAGGTTATTGGAATGTTCAATTGCCAGTTAAGCAACTTGAACAGGCAATTGACATTTTGGAAATTGCACTTCCAGATACGATATTGGTTTTTGGGTTTGATAACAGTTCTAGCCATGGAGCCTTCACTGAAGATGCATTAATAGTAAACAGAATGAACGTTGGTTATGGTGGTAAACAACCCAAAATGCGCACTGGTCGATTTTCTGATAGCACATTTCAAGAAATGGTTTTTCCATTAAATCATTCAGACGAAAAAAAAAGGGGTCAACCAAACGGAATTAAAGAGGTAATGACAGAAAGGGGAATATGGGATAAGCGATTAAGAGGCAAATGCGTTAAATGCTCAAAAGATGAAACAAAAATATGCTGTAATAAAAGAAAATTGGCTAGACAGCCAGACTTTATGGAACAGAAAAATGTTCTTGAGGAAATTGTGCTTAAACAAGGTCATAAAATTTTTTATTCCAAGTTTCATCCAGAATTGAACTATATCAAATATTATTGGAGGGCGATAAAAAGGTACGCAAGAAGCCACTGTAATTATACTTTTCAAGGATTAAGAAAAACCGTACCAGAGGCTTTTAATTCTGTAGATATTATAACAATCAGGAAGTTTGCAAGAAAAGTG